GCAGGAGACCTAAGCACTATGGGCGTGGAGAATTGGATGGAGGTTGCTCAAGACAGAAAACAGTGGAGGCATGTTGTCGAGTCGGCTAAAACCCACGAAGGGTTGTAGCGCCACGGAGTAAGTAAGACATAGAGATCCTGGTTTATATCTAGTCGTCTTTGCGCAAGAACCTTAAAAGCAAACAGAGCCTCTCTTGTTCCTAGCCCTTCTCTGAATCCAAACTGGGTGTTATTTATGTCTTCTTTTATTTTATTTGTGTAGTATTCCACTATTATTTGTGGCTTATTAAGGAAATTGTTCTGCACTGGGAGCATTCTGTCGCATTTAGTGACTTTGGTAGTGTTACACACGTGGACAGCAACCAATCTTCGGGTATTACTCCTGTTGTATATACTTGGTTAAACAGATCTAAAAGTATATACAGTGTTTCTTCGTCAATACATTTAATTAGCTCAGTGGGTATCTGATCTGGGCCTACTGAGATTGCGGTCTTTGCGTTTCTAATTGCCTGTTCTAATTCACACATTATTATTTTCGGTCCTGTTTGTTCCTGTGGTTCTTCTTGTATCATTCTATCATCGTCGAATAGTTTCATTATGTATTCTTGCCAAAATCTTAGTTTATCTTTGACGTCTGAAATGAGTTTACCATTATCAGTTTTGAGTATCCCAATTTTGCTCGCTTTTTGGTATTTGTTAGCTCTTTTATTTTTTTATGCAGATTAAAGCTGTCGTATTTTCTGTCATACTCTTCTATTTCTATGCATTGTCCTGTTAGCCACTTTTCCTTGGACTTTTTTATCTCTACTTTAATCCTACTTTGTAGTTCTTGATATTTTGGCTCATTTCTCCTTTGGCTTTTCCCTTCTCTTCCATTAAGCTAGAATTTCTAAAGTCATCCACTTCTGTTTTTTATTTGTCTTTTCAGGCTTTAAATTTTCTTCTGCAGCCTTTAGTAATACCCTTTGAATATTGCTCCACTTTTCATTGGCATCTTCTGATGTTAAGATTTCTTCTATTACTTCTGTTAGATTTTAGTAGACTTGTTGGATCACTTTTTGATGTATTTCTCTTTTTCTTAATTTTGTATAATCAAACGTTTGTTTAATACATAAATAACTATAGTTTTGTTACAGTTCCATAACCCACCTCTATCTACGACAATATTTTGTACTTCGTTTGAGTGCATCACGGACGCGATGCCTTGGTGCATTCTAGAATGTCAAACCGAGTGTATTTCTGGACAACCCTTTGTTCGTTTATGTGACATAAATAGTCACTGCTAAATCTGTATTGTAATGTGCTTTTCAATGCCCCCTTTTTTGCTTTGACGTGCCCTAAAAAGTGCATGCATCACGAACTTCAAAGAATCCAGCCATCTGGAAATGTAGCTTTTCGCCGGAAAGCAGTTTTTGATGTCGAAAAATAATTACAGACAATTTTTAGATTGCGTTCAGCATGCCAGATACACAATTTTATGTAATTAATATGAAATCTTTTTTAAATTTTACATGTAGGGGGACTTAATAGTTTTAAAGATTATATATCATACATTTAAAAATAAACTACCTAGGTATTTCCTGGCCGTGAATTTTCAATATAACCTTATCCGAAATTCTTTTGTTTTTAGTCTAAAATTAGTAAAATAATTCAATATTTTTCAAACATTTTGGTGACTTCTCATTTTTAATTCATTTTTATTTTGTCAAGTTAAGTTTGTGGTCAAGTCATTTTGTTAATTGAAGTTTGTGGTAGGTGGTGTTTACATAACTCCACAATCACCTCGCGAAGTATACAACTGGCATTGTCAAACTGTAAAAAATGTTGTTCTGCAATATTCAGCATAGGATATGTATGTTTTTGGTGATTACAATCTTCCCAATGCATCATGGGAGAATGATGAGTTTGGTGTAATGGTGCATTGTCCTGCAGATGATTGTGTGAGCTGTGAATATTGCTCAAGCCTTTGCTTTTTTAAAATTGTATCAACATAATAATATTCCCAATAACTGTAATATATTTTTGGATATAGTTTGTTCTAATGTTAGGGAGCTAAATATCTTAAAAGCAAGTGATCCCCTTATATATCCTACCATCTAATAAAAAAAGTTGGTTTATGATGAGTTCTTTTATGATTTTCAGAATGGCGATTACGTTGCGCTTAACAACTTCCTTGCTTCCAAAGACTGGCAGGTATGTATGGTTAATGGTATTGATGTTGCTACACAATTATTTTATGAAGTTCTATATATATTCAGGGATTCTACAGTATTCACTGCCTTTCCTCGCTCAACCGTTTCCATCTTTCTCTGTTGTCCCATTCTCCATCTTTTATGCCTCTCTTACTCATGGCGTCGTCTACTTCGTACTTCCAGTATCTTCGGGGTCGTCCTCTTTTGTTTCTTCCTATGGGGCTCCATTCGGTTATTCTCTTTCTCCATCTGCTGTCGCTAGTTCTTACATGTCCATACCACTTTAGTCTTTTTTGTTCTATATATGTTAGTATGTCTGTTTCTATTGATGTTCTTTGCTTTATTTCGTCCATTACTTCTCTTATGAAGTTCTCTCTATAGGAATTTCTTACTTTGTGCCATTGACGAAATTTATAAATTCAACTTTTCCCAAGTGGTTCTCTGCTGATCTTAGAAGACTGATTCTGGAGAAAAAATATGCTCACTATAATAATAGTTCTAATGATTACTATATTAGATTCTCCCACCTAAGAGCTGAGTGTAAACAACTTTCTGAAATTTGCTTCATCAACTATATTAAATGTATAGATACTGAGCTAAGAAATGATCCAAAATCATTTTGGAAGTACATCAATGATAAGCGATCTAGTCATAACCTACCTAACTCCTTATTTTATCAAGTCCAATCTGCAACAAATGGTCAAGACATAGCTAATTTATTTATGAACTTCTTCCAAACTTTGTATTCACCAAATAACGACAACCTTTACGTACCTATCCATCCATTAAATATCGACTTTAGTACAAATATTTGTCCTTCTAAGATTACCATGACTGATATTTTTAATGGCATAAATTAGCTGCCCAATAAGCTTACTGCTGGTCCAAATGAAGTGCCTATTTTTTTTTAAAGTGTGTCTGTACCCATGTAATACCATTTGTTATATTGTTTAATAGAACTCTGGAAACCTCTATGTTTCCTTCTTCATTTAGAGGAAATTATGTTGTTCCTATAATTAAAAATGGTCAGAAAAACAATAATAAACTTTCTTGGTTATATCATCATCATCATATAAGGGGGATCTATGGCGATTGCCGCTTCCCGCATTTCAGCCTCCTTTTCCTATCTCTCCAATCTCCCTCTTCTAAGCTTCTAGATTGCATTGTTTTTGTAATTTCTCTTCTCCAGGAATTTGGTGGTCTTCCCCTTTTCCTTCTTTCTGGCGGAACATACATTAAGGCTTTCTTTGGCCACCGCTCCTCCTCCATTCTCATCACGTGACCATACCATTGTAATTCCCTTCCTTGTATTCTATCTGAAAGAGTATCTCTAATTCCTGTACGGTTTCGTATTTCCTCATTCCTGATTCTTTCCATTCTCGATACTCGACATGACCTTCTAAGATAATCCATTTCCACAACGTCTACTTTATCTCGTTCGTTCTTTGTCATCGTCCAACATTCGGCACCATATGTGGTAATCGGTTCTATAATTGCTCTATATACACGAAGTTTGGTATGCATCTTTATTTTATTAGACAGCAGTAATGAATTCAGCATTCGGATGCATTTTTTCCCTTGGCTTATTCGGTTTTGTACATCTATCTTAACTCTGCCATCTGCTGATATGATGCTTCCTAGATATTTATACTGGTTGCAACCTTTTATGACTGCGTTTTCAAGCCTCAGATTTGTGGTATTTCCTCCAATTTTTAAATATTCTGTTTTGCTTATGTTTACAGTAAGCCCCCATTTGGCATATTCTTCAAATAATTTTCGATTCATATAATTTATATCTTCCTCATCGGTTGCAACCACCACCTGATCATCTCCAAACAACAATGTATACAGAGTTTCTTGGTTATGTAAAGGCTTGATATCTCAATCACAACATGGTTTTTATAGCAAAATAATTCCCTGCAACAAATTTGGTTTGCTATTAGTCTGATATATTATCTCATATGGAAGACCGTAAACAGGTAGATGCAACATACACAGATTTTTCCAAAGCATTTGATCGTGTAGATCACCAAATACTTTGGCAAATTAATTAATGTAGGATAGGTTGTCATCTGTCTGACAGTATCGCATTAACATCTTTCCTTGGAGTTCCTTAAGGAGGCCAAACTTCTCCACTTCTTTTTAACAACTTCGTTAATGCCATCACTTCCTGTGTCCTAAATAGCAAATGTCTAATGTTGACAGATGACTTGAAATTTTGGAAAGTTAGAGATAGCTTAAAAGATCAAGCATTGCTACAAGATTGCTTAGACCAACTACAAAATTGGTGCAATTAGAGCAAACTTCACTTTAAATGTAAATCTTACTTTCTGTAACCACATAAACACTATTTCAATAAAGTCATCTAAACTGCTTGGTTTCGTTACTAGGAATTGCAAGTATTTCTCCATTGATTCAATAAGATTAGTGTGTTGTTGCTTAGTTCGAACTATTTAGGAAAACTGTTCAGTTATTTGGTCATGGTACCACATTGTTTTCAATATTCTTTTCCACAGAACAACCTATGGCATTCACAACCCATTGGATAGATACATGGAGCTCTTGCGTTGTGATACGTACATGGGGATTGTTGAATTTTGTTCTTGATATATTTTGTTTGTTTTTTCTAGTATGTAAGATTTTTAGTCTCATTTTTTAAACTTTTTTTGTACTTTTCAATATTGATTTTATATTATAAGTAATTTCAAGTTTTGAATACAATTGTGGTACTTAAAGCTAAAACTAGAGTTGAACAAAACAAATCACAATTTAGATTTGATTTTTGATTATTTTTTTTTTATTGTTTCAGCATATGGTGCAGACGGGTATGACAGCTCCTTTTCCAGGGGCTGCCACCGCCACACCAGCAGGTTTCCCAACACAAAATGGCGAAGTCAAACCTGGGGCGGAGGAGAAACCAACGGTGACTGCTCTCCTTCCGCCCCCAACAGGTGCCACAGCACCAGGAGCAGGACCGCCCTATAGCCCACCACCTCCTCAACCCCCGACAACAGTGGAACCACCCGTCAGTATAGCTTGTAGCCCCGCGACGTTGGCCGCTCAGGCTCAGTCTCAGTATAAATGTGAATCTCTTTCAACGGTGAGTAAAATGACATGTCTGCGTTAACTCTTATTTATTTTTATCTCCCATTAACTATTATACAAGTTCTGGGGATTTCGGTAGGTCTGCGATATACATATAAGCTTTCGGCCAACACTCGATATACCTATTAGTTAACAATAGTAAGTTTTGCCAAAGAAGTTTTGCCTTACTATGCTGGAGAAACTTTGCCTGCAGAACAGAATTTGGATCATTAAGACCTATTTGGGACAGATACAGGCTGCGACAGGGATTGCTCATCCGTAGCCATATCTCTTTTTATCCCAAAGTTTTCCTCCAAAGCTGAAAACGATGTACGTCAGCAATAGTTTTAAATAAAGCCGTGGCACAACTTCTACGAGATTTCATCCTTCATGACTGTTGGTTGATCAAACATGGGATGACGTGAGTTACTTTCTTGTTTCTTCTTTTCAATCTCATAAACAACTTTTCTTCTGATATTGGGATGAGATATTTCTATTATCTTGTGAGCTGGAGTAATTAGTAGGTGTAAAACATCCAGGTAATTCAAACAAGGGGAACTAAGTACTCTAAAGTCTCTACTGCAGAGATACATAAAGCCATTGTTAAGTTTCTTTGAGCAAATTTTTGCTTCTATATGTTGCAATGGCTTTTAAATTTAAGAGTATTATTTATTTTACTCCTACTGTACAGTTATATAAGATCTCTCTTCACGTTATTTGAAACTTTTTCGTAGTGTACCGTTTGTATAGAGCGTAAAGCGCATACTTGCATTTTATTATTGGTCTATGATCTCGGTTAATTATTGTTGTAGTATTCTGTTATACAAAAATCTTTATTGGAAACTGACAGCCTAGGTCAAAATAAGCGAACACCTGTCCAGTAGTATCCTCATAAAAAGAGTAGTACGCCAGGGGTGTGTTCTGATACCTCTTCCTTCCAACCTTACTTAAGTTAACGGAAGGCTCATCAACAACATAATATATGTCGATGAAACTGTCATCGCTTTAACGACTTCTAAACGTAGTAGGAGAAGAAGGCCAATCCTTTGGTCTTGAAATCAACACAAACTGTTGGTCCTCTACTCTTTTTTTACAAACTTCTACTAGAACTCTGATTAATTCCCGGTGAATCGTCTCGCCTTTAAGGCAAGTTATCTAAGAGGTTCTAAAATTACCTGCTCCACTTACTTCAGATGTTCACTTTGTCCATTTTATAGAGATTATATCCAAGTTGACAGTGTCCAGTGAGAGCACTTAAATACTGTGAGTATGGAGATCTTAGACCGTCTTCTTAGGCGTCTGCTTGATATACCGCAGAATGCTTCGCGATAACATCAATGATTTTACTCCCTGCCAACAAAGGAACTTTGTTGTGCTTTCTCTCTTGTCTTTACTGCAGATCACCCTATAAAATGTTCTGCTTTCTGACAATTCGAGTGACCGCCTTAAATACTGACTTGTATTCAGTCTTTCCCCTTATTGCTACCTGCTTATGCTGTTTGCACTTACCTTATATACCTTTAAGTGTAATTCGTTTCTATGCTCGTCAAATAGCACTCTCAGTGGCTGTGTCAGCCACTTCACACTCTGTCTCCATCCACAACCTTCCCTATCCTTTGGGTGAAAAAGTTAGTGTCTGTGTCACTGCACTTCATCCATTATTACTCCTGTCCAGGCCTCTCTATACTCATTTGTTCATCCTTCCTGCCATACCGTTATGCTTCTCGAAGGTTTATGCCCTTTCCTTTACCATCAGGTTGATGAGTAACACACCCGTACTTACCTATATGGCCACCGTTGATGTTGTTCTGAATTTCATGATGTTAAGTACGTGTGCTGCATGAGAGTAGAGTGGACTACTTCTATTAAAAATTTTAAAGACAGTCCCTGCTCCTCCCACGTTGGGCATAATCCTCTCTTGGGTAGTCCTCACCTATGCTTTGCAAACGATGTATTGAACCAGCTCACTAAAAGTTTGTTTATGAAGGTTAATAAATTAAGTGGGTCATGATCTCATTACACTTGTTAATCCTACATAAGCGTAACCGCAATCGAGCCATAAAACAATTATTTTTATTTATTTTCAGGAAACCGAAAATGGCCCTACAATCCCAGTTCCAACCTCAGAGTCCTCAGATGGTACGGTAAATCCATCAGTAGCACAGGCAGCTTCAGATATTATTAAGAATCAACCAAAAAGGCTACATGTCTCGAACATTCCATTCAGATTTAGGGATCCAGATCTTAGAGCAATGTTTGGGGTAAGTTACTTCGAATTATTATATGTAATAAGATAGTCATTAAAACGTTAAAACGGCTATTTTCTAATTTTTTTGTTCAAGTTATTCAAACAAGCAACTATGTCATACATTTTCAATTTATTAATTTTCACACAAAAAAGAAAGGATATAACACCAGCTTTTAGAATAAACAACAACTTAGGCAAATATATTAAAAACAAGAGCCAAAGTAAAAAGCACTTACACACTGGTGTATACAAACTTAAATGTGGCGACTGTCCATCAAACTTACATCGGTCAAACTGATAGAACTTTTAACAAACGTAAAGCAGAACATAAAAGGGCTTTCAATAATAGAAACATAGATTGATTCTACATACGCACTTCACCTACTAGATCATCATCATTCTTTTAATGACGAATTTCAAATTCTTCACATTCATGATAAAGGCCTTCAGCTATCTAGTGTTACTGCATGGCTGTGAAAGTTGGACAATGGACTTTAAAATAGAAAAAATAATAGATGTATATATACAGACGAATGTTGAGAATTCCATGGGTACAAAGAGTTACTTAAGGTACTTTGTCGCATGTGTTAACAAAAAGAATTACTAAGAATAATCAAAGAGAGAAAAATGCAATACTTGGGTCATGTGTTGAGAGGCGAAAGATATGAATTACTAAGTTATACTGGAAGGAAAACTACAGGGTAAAAGATCAGTAGGAAGACGCCAGAACTCATGGCTGAAAGACCTGAGGAGATGGTTCGACCGCTCATCCGCAGAAATCTTTCGCGCAGCAGTTTCCAAAACTACCATTTCCATTTGGATCGCCAACCTTCGAAATGAGACAGTCCCATGAGAAGAAGAAGTTTATTTAATTATATTTTGACGCCTAATTTCATTGCGGAACGATATTTTTTTACATTTTGACATTTTCTAATACAAATATATGAAGACCAAAATAATTAGTATATATCTTTTATTTGTTTCAGCAATTTGGCCCAATATTAGATGTAGAAATTATTTTTAACGAAAGGGGATCCAAGGTATGTAAAAGATTTTATTTACGATTTATAAAAAACAATTTACCATGAAAATATTACATTTGAGCCAGCTATGTTGCTATTAAAGTCCATAGTTATTGCAGGCGTTGCTAGCATTCGCGTTTCTTTGTTAGTCAAAACAATCTTAATGGTTTAATAGCTGATTTTGCTACTAAAATTTGAATTATGATTGTATTTACTAACAATAAACCAGTGACTCGTCTACAAAGAGACAAATTCTTATTTTTATGTGAAGGAGACTCGAAAGTTCTAAAATATTTTCCTGTAGTATTTTAATCGAACTAGTTTTGTATATATTGATCATATGTTGCATTTTTAGGTAGTTAAGTTCTTGTACCAAAACCATTTATACCAAAACCACGTTTAATAAGGTTACCGAATCTTCTTTGTCGTTTGAAAAGAGGGTCGTATCTTTGCAAACGACGTAGACGAGTTACAACGTATTGTCAGTATATCTAATATTGTTAATGTTTCTTTTATAAACCACAATACTGTCCCCTTACTTATGGATTCTTTCGTAATATCATTAAGCTGAGCGTAGACGTTGAATAAGAGTGGTGAAAGTGTGCATAATTGTCGAACACCTCAAGTATGCTTATTTCTTCTGTCAGTTCCACTTAGACTCTAACCTTTGCTGTCTAATTTTGAGAAAAAGGTTTGATATCGTTTGTAGTTATTTACTGGCCCAAGATGTTTCTCTTAATACAACTTATAAATTTTTTTAATACCGTTTTAAACCTTCATCGGACGGGCCTCAAAATATTACACAAAAGACGGGCCGGGCTCTGAGAAAAAAAATTCTGTACCAGTAACACATTATTTTTTAAAGTATTGAACATTTATTAGACTAACTAAAGCATAGATATTATTACAAAATACATTCTTCTGCTGACGCTAACAGACTAAATAACAACTACATACTATATGTACAATGTACACAAACTATCTCTGATTTTGCATGTTCTAGACATACAAAATTTTACTAGTTTTTCTGTCTTTACCTCTAAAACACACATGGCACCACCCCCTTGTATTTTTTGTTTGTTCTACTCTGGACTCAGTAATATTCAAAAGTTCTGAGAATACATCTGCCATGTGACGCTTTTTATTCTTTTCGATGTGCTTATTGTTGTACCGTCTGAAAACATATTCCTTTATAAGTTCCTTGCCCATTGCCAAAATAAACATTTTACGCTTACTCATATTGTGCTTTTGTCAATCAGGTTATTTTAGTAGCCACAATTTATAGGAATTAATACCTGCGACATCAATATCAAGATAAGAGAATATAGCCATCGGCTTACCGGCTTGTTTTTTTGCGTATATTCTTTAGCTAACTTATCGGTTGTATCGACGGCTCCTTTAGTTTTGTTGCAATGTAGAATAATTTCAGGTTTATAGGAGTGTTTTTCACCAGCCACTTTGTTGTCAACATTCTCACTTGAAAGTACGATGACTGCAGTTCTTGGTTTTGGAACATAAGAGACTCCCGTTGGATGTTTTCTAAAAGCAAACATACTTGTATAATCAATCTGTTTGATATGATGCTGGTAGAAGTTCCCTTGGAATAAACGTTTTATTTTGTCGAAGAATTCCACATAGAGTTATGTTCTTCTCCCATAACTTATCCGCAAATTGTAAACTCGTAAAAAAATTGTCAGTTGATATTCCAAAACCTCCTTACAAATGGTTTTTCAAGTCTAGGACAACTCTTTGGCCTTGAGCTTTTTCCGCCTTAGGACTTTGTTTTCCTAAAAATTGATAGATTTAAAAATTTACTTGTTTTTTATTGGCCATTCATAAATTTGCATGTTTACAATAAAAGAAGTAGTGCAGTACAGGTTTGCTCTTCATATAAACTCGGAGTGGTGCTTTACCTCTAAAAGTCAGGAGTTGTTAATCTACACACATATGGTCGCCTGAATTAAGTGATTTCTTAAAATTAGAAATAAAAATACCACATACATCTCTTATTGGGGCCAGTTTATCTACTGATTTTCGTTGTTGTCTGGTTTCAAAATTGTCAAAACGTATAAATGAAGTTATTTTTTTGAACTTACCTCTAGACATAGCAACTGATATTTATTATAACACGGCAGTAAGCAACATTGTCACACCAAAGCATATCGATCGCCTATTTCGATCCATGAAAAGCTCCAAGTATAAGCAATACTCCAATATAGGTTTGAATCTCTACAGAATCAACGCAAACATACACTTTAGTTTTATTTGGGTTTTCACTATTCCATTTATCGTAATACGCTTAACCCTTCCGATTAGTTTCCATGACAATTATGTTTAGAATTTCGTCTGAAAAAAAAACAGACGGAAAGCGTTTTTGATACTTGAGATATCATCACTGTAATTGGTCAGTCCTAGAGCATGTCTACGCATATTGACCTTTACGCGTTTCACTTTTATGTTTTTGGCAACCTTGATCAGTCACTTCTATCTTTAGATACATATACCGATAAGCCTTAGGAGTCAGTAACTGTTGGTTAATTTTGTTCTATGCTTTGATCAATAATAAGGTCATTTTCTTCTTCTACCTCTGTTACATTGTCTTTATCTTCTAAATCACTTGCTGTATCCTCATTGATATCAAGCTCTGGAACATCACTTTCAAGTAAACGTAAAAGTTCATCTTCAATCAGTTGCTTTCGGCTAGATATAAGTGAAACGTAACTCATGTTCAGAATTTTATGCACTATTCACAAATACGTCAAGAAACCAACTGACACTGGAAGTCAATATATTTAAATTATTTCATTATTTCGATATTTCGATAACAGATGGACACAGCGAATAATACAGTGGAGACCGAGACAAGAAGCACATCGAAGTAGAGGTCGTCCACCAACAAGATGGTCTGATGACATAAAACGGATCGACAAAAATTGGATGCAAACAGCACAAAACAGAAATACATGGAAAAGACTGAGGGAGACCTATATCCAGCTGTGGATAGATCCGGGTTAAATGATGATGATGATGAACCGTTAAATGTTCTTGTTGTAGACATAATTTTTTATCAATACAATATATAAACTACAGATAGATGGCAAAATAGACCCCTGGCAAGTCATATGAAGGTTAAACGAATCTGTAAATAACTCATTTCTAATTTTCGTCCATATAATATTACTATCCTGGTTTACAGAGTGTAATGGTACGATATTCACTGCAGTATTTTGCGTTTGTTGTTTTCGGACTCGTTATAAAATTTAAGTCAAGCTAGGAAAGGTCAGTCTTTGGATGTATTATATGCCATTAAAAGATTTACCAAAACACCAATATTTTCTTTCTTAATTAATAGTTTTTTTGGTACCGTGATTTTTCCATCGTCATCTAGTTTTTTTCTTTTTTTCTTTAACATCTATTTAAAAAAAATCACAACTTTGGTACATTCCGTTTTTCTGACTGACCCTGTATAATCGAAAATAATTTTAAATCGCAGAAGTCTTTGATATACATCAGTTTTGTTCGAAACATTTTTATATACTCCATAGTTTGTAATCAAAGATAGCCAGAGGTTTCTCGCGTCTGTATATTCGTTTAATTTTCTTGATTCTACCAAATTCTACTAATTCGAAAATTTACTCGTTCTGACAAATAGATCTCTGTCGGTTTTTATTAGTAGAACAGAAGCCACATATAATGTCCAAAATTTATTGTTTCCCATTTCGTTATAAATTCCGTGCTGTTATGTGTAGCTTTACTTGAGATTCGTTTTCTTAAAGGAATTTGAAAATTTTAACAGCTTTTATGTTATTAATACTCTCTCCTAGTTAATTTTTCGCAAAATTTCAACGTCTGGAATTTCTAAGGCGACAGACATATAAAAATTTATTACACTGATGTTTCTAACGGCAGTATTGC